CCCCCAGCTCTCACCGGTGTGGCTGCGCTTGTGCACCATGAGCACGTTGGGCCCGATGCACACCATCCCACACCCCGGAATTCCCATTTTCCCCCCGTTTTTTCCCCATTTTCTCTCATTTTTTCCCCATTTTTCCCCGTTTTTTCCCGTTTTTTCCCGTTTTTGCCCCGTTTTCTCTCGTTTTTTCCCCGTTTTTGCCCCGTTTCCCCCCAGCTCTCACCGGTGTGGCTGCGCTTGTGCACCATGAGCACGTTGGGCCTGATGCACACCATCCCACACTCCCATTTTTTCCCCGTTTTTCCCCATTTTTCCCCCGTTTTTTCCCCGTTTTCTCTCGTTTTTTCGCCGTTTTCCCCCGTTTTTTCCCATTTTCCCCCATTTTCCCCCCAGCTCTCACCGGTGTGGCTGCGCTTGTGCACCATGAGCACGTTGGGCCCGATGCACACCATGCCGCAGACGTCGCACTTGAGTTTCCCGTTGGGCAGGCGGATGCCGCCGGGCGAGTGCGGCTCCGGGAAGGGCTCCGGGAAGGGCTCGGGCAGCGCGTCCTCGGGCAGCCCCCCGCGGCCCTCCCGCGACGGCGGCCGGCCCGGCGAGCCCTCGTCTCCCCCCGTTTTTTCCCCATTTTCTCTCATTTTTTCCCCATTTTTCCCCGTTTTTTCCCGTTTTTTCCCGTTTTTGCCCCGTTTTCTCTCGTTTTTTCCCCGTTTTTGCCCCGTTTCCCCCCAGCTCTCACCGGTGTGGCTGCGCTTGTGCACCATGAGCACGTTGGGCCCGATGCACACCATGCCGCAGACGTCGCACTTGAGTTTCCCGTTGGGCAGGCGGATGCCGCCGGGCGAGTGCGGCTCCGGGAAGGGCTCCGGGAAGGGCTCGGGCAGCGCGTCCTCGGGCAGCCCCCCGCGGCCCTCCCGCGACGGCGGCCGGCCCGGCGAGCCCTCGTCCGACGACATCTCCACCTTGATGGAGTTGGCTGCAGGGCACCCAAAAACGGGCTCAGGATGGGGGGAAATGGGGTGGGATTACCAAAAAAATGGGGTTGGGAGGGGGGAAATGGGGGGAAATAGGATGGGATTACAAAAAAATGGGGTTGGGAGGGAGGGAAATGGGGGGAAATGGGGGGAAATGGGG